CATCTCAAAAAAAAAAATAAATAAATAAATAAATGATATACTAATGTATTCTCTAGTATGTGTGAGAATATTTTCAAACTTGTTTTATAATCTGCTTTTTCTCATTTAATAATTTGAGTACCTGTCTTCACATAAAAAATTTTCTTCATATCCTATACCGTTTTTTGAGGTAACATGTTTAACCAATCCATTTCAATTGAATATTATTTTTTTTCTGCTTTAAAGATTATAATATGCCAGGCGTGGTAGCTCATGCCCATAATCCCAGCGATTTTGGAGGCCAAGGTGGGAAGATCACTTGAGGCTAGGAATTCAAGACCAGTCTGGACAACCTAGCAAGACCCTGTCTCTACAAAAAATATTTTAAAAATTCGCTAGGCATGGTGGCACATGCCTGTAATCCCAGCTACTTGGAAGGCAGAGATGGGAGGATGCCTTGAGCCCAGGAGGCTGAGGCTGCAATGAGCTATGATCATGCCACTATATTCTAGCCTGGGCAACAGAGTGAGACTCTGTCTCAAAAAATCCCAAAACTGTAATAAATATTTTACATATAAAATCACTATATTGAGCATTTGTAGCAAAATATTTGCCTGTACCCTTATTTATTTCTTTAGGATGAGTGGGGCTTATTTGTTCCCAGAGAGCTCCTTTGCTTGGACAGGATTTAAGAAATTAATTCTGTGAAGAAAATAAGAAAGCTTCACTGAAGGGAAATGGGATGTGTATTAGCCAGGGCTCTCCGGTGGGAAGAAATATTTGTATTTGTATCTATCAGTTTAATCTAGCTAGCTAAAGAGACTTGTCATAAGGAATTGGGTCATGCGATCATGGGGGCGGGCAAGTCCCAAGATATGCAGGGTGTCAGCAAGCCAGAGATTCAGGAGATTCAATGGTTTAGTCCCATTCCAAGTCCACAGGCCTAAGAACCAGGAGAGCTGCTGGTGTAGTTCCCATCCAAAAGCCACCAGGCTTGAGGCAAGGAAGAGCCAACATTTCAATTCAAGTCTAGAAGCAGGAAAAAAAAAAATCAATGTCCCAGTTTGAAGGTAGGCAGGCAGGAGAGATTCTCTGTTACCTGGGAGAAGGGCAACTTGTTTGTTCTATTCAGGCCTTCAACTGGTTGGATGAGGCCCACTTGAATTAGGTGGACAATCTGCTTTACTTGGTCTATAGATTTAGATGTTAATGTCATCCAAAAATACCCTCACAGAGACACCCAAAATAATGTATAACCAAATATCTAGGTACCCCGTGGCTCAGGTTAACACATAAAATTAACCATCACAGGAAGCCTTTCTAGTTTTGATATGACAGAGGGCTTAGAGTTTTAGTGGAGGAAAATATGATAAATGGATTATTGCTGGCTTTCCAGCTTGCTTTCCAGTTCTTCTACAAATAAAAAATGCAATTCGCTGCTGGGTACGGTGGCTCACACCTGTAATCTCAGCACTTTGGGAGGCCCAAGCAGGTGGATCCCTTAAGTCCAGGAGTTCAAGACCAGCCTGGGCAACATGGCAAAATCCGATCTGTACAATAAATACAAAAATTAACTGGGTGTGGTGGCACATGCCTGTAGTCCCAGCTACTAGGGAGGCTGAGGTGGGAGGATCGCTTAAGCTCAAGAGATTGAGGTTGCAGTGAGCCGGGAG